CCCCCCCCCCCCCCCCAACTGCTTGGAAAGCCAAAAATTGCCCATGCTTGCTCTATATTCTAGTCTCCAGAGCAGCAGAAAAGAATTCTGCTTCATCTTTTTTTCTTACCATATCTCACTCTGTCTTTGAGAAAGAGCAATGCAATATCCGAATCCATGTTTCCAAATCTGTTGAAGGAAGGATGAGGGATGATTTTTGAGACTTGGATGTTCTGTTCTTCTTCATCCATGCTTCTGAGACTGTATTCCCCAACAGTCACAAACAGATTTTTTATGAGTTTCCTGCCAGGCAAAGGGTGGCCATAATAATGAATGACATGGACAGAATGCAATTCAGTTAGTGAGTTTTTCCCGTAAGAAAATCCGCAATTTAATATGTGTTTACATATATAGATAGATCTGTGTTTTTTTTAGTTCACAAAAATTCCTGAGGTCATGAACACATACAAATTATTAATGTAATACAAAGATAAAAAACACTTTAAAATACATTAAAATACTCTTGGAAAACAATCTAAATGGAGCTTAAAACAGTAAAATAGAGCAATTTTAACTATTGAAGGCCATGCAAACCAGCTGGAGGATTCTGGGAGCCAGAGTCAAAAAGAAGTATTCTTTCAAGATACTGGTCTTATCAAACTATTGGAACCTCATGTTCCAAAACACAGTCTTGCTGCCCCTTAAAGAATTGGAAATGTATCATGTAGGTGGTCATGGTGGCACAATGGGTTAAACCGTTGTGCTGCTGAACTGCTGACCTGAAGGTCGGCAGTTTGAATCCACAGGATGGGGTGAGCTCCCACTGTTAGGCCTAGTTCTTGCCAACCTAGCAGTTCAAACGCATACCAATGTGAGTAGATAACTAGGTACTGCTCTGACGGGAAGGTAACTGCACTCCATACAGTCATGCCGGTCACACAACCAGGAGGTAACAATACAGGCTCCTCACTTGGAAATGGAGAGCAGATTCTCCCCCAAAACCATAAATGAAAGGAGAAGCCTTCACCTTTGTTTGTGTTCATGTGTCTCCTTGTATTATAACAAGGCAGTGAATATCTGCCAATATCTGTTTACACTGTAATCCGCTCCTAGACCCCATGGGGAGAAGGGCGGAATATAAATAGAGTCATTATTATTATTATTATTATTATTATTATTATTATTATTATTATATTAAAATCCAGTTTGTTGGATCAAATGAGCTGCACAGACAGGATAAACCAAAATTGTACTATTGGTAAGTGTCACTGCAGCTTTTACTTATGTATTCACAATTTGAGAAAGTATAATTTTCCAACACTATGTAAAAAAATGAAAAATTGTCTGTTACTGGTTTGAAAATGCTATTCCTGTTTGACAGTACAGTACTTACTCTGAAAGTAGTTGTTATACTTCAGAAAATTCACTTTTGTGGCTGCTACAAACTTGGTTGAAATGAGACAAGATACAGTATTCACTGAAAAACTATAGCAAAATGTGCTGTAGTTTAATAAATCTTTTCCATGCTTTTATGATCGAACCAATAAGAAAATGATATTTATAACCCAGGAACAAAAACTGTGTTACATAGTATAATATGTCTAGTTAATATCCAATTAAGTTAGTAGTATTAAATGTAAAGGTTTCCCCTGACATTAAGTCTAGTTGAGTCCAGCTCTGGGGGGTGTTGTTCATGTCCATTTCTAAGCGTTGCCCGTAGACACCTCCAAGGTCATGTGGCCAGCATGACTACATGGAGCACTGTTACCTTCCCACTGGAGCTGTACCTATTGATCTACTGACATTAGCATGTTTTCGAACTGCTAGGTTGGCAGAAGCTGGGCCTAACAGCGGGAGCTCACCACGCTCCCTGGATTTGAACCCCCAACCATTTGGTTAGCAAATTCAGCAGCTCAGTGTTTTAACCCACTGCACCACCAGACAGTCCAATTAGGTCACAAATACACATATTTAAACATACCTCCATGAAATACGTATAAAAATACACAAAATAAAAACAAGGCATACAGCGGAAGTTAAAATTCACCATTAAAACTGCCTGCATAGGCCTGCTGGAAGAATAATAATGGTTTCATTTCTGTATGGCCATGTTCTAGCAGATCAGAGGATCCTCTGAAGATGCCAGGCACAGATGCAGGCAAAACGTCCGGAGAAAATGCAGCTAGAACACAGCCATACAGCCCAGAAACCACACAACGCTCCAGTGATTCCGGCTGTGAACGCCTTTGACAACGCAAGAAGTCTAGACTTTATACAGAATTAAAGCATAACATACATGTCAATATCCACAATACAGTGAGCTGCAGTAACCACTATATTGTCCTGGATCAAACTGCCCCCACAGAAGTGGGATCGCCCCATCTTGATAGATACCTGTTTAGAAGAAGCAGGGAAAAGAATGCATAAAGAAATGAGGGATGGTCTTGCATTGATCGCAGCTAATGTTAAAAAAAATGGTGGCTATGTATGCCAGGCTGACAGCCATTTGGAAATTCTACGATCTCTTGCTGCCTTCCAATATACACAACACGCATATCAACAGGAGAAAGTGCATAACAGGACGGGGACATCAGTCAAAGAAGTTCAACCACTGATTGATTACTTTTAAAAGACTACTGTTCTGATAAACGCCTGCTTATAGCTCAGAAATTAGAACAAACAACACAAACATCATTGATCAGTTTCCCATAATCTGTGGTGCAAGATCCTGATACAGTTGCATGTATAATGAAAAGGGCTTAACGCTGATGTTCCAGCAAAGCAAATGTAAACATTGTGTTGTGGGGCTGAGGGAGCATTCACTCTGGAATATGAAGGACCAGCGCTCGCTTTCCAGACAAAGAGCATCTCTGACACCTTCTTGATTGATCTTTTACATGTCTTATTTTTATTGGATTTTGAGTTCATTCCATTTTTGTGGTACAGTTCCAATTACATATATCCACAAATTTGCATACTTAGTCTAAATCCGTTGTTATTGCCATATAATAGTAATAATAATACACTTTATTTATATTCAGCCCTTCTCCCCTAGGGGACTAAGAGTGGATTATATCATTCACATACACAGGCAAACGTTCAATGCCTTTACAGCAGTGGTTCCCAACCTGTGGTCCATGGACCACCAGTGGTCTGCAAGAATGAAAATATGGTCTGCAGCCTCACCATTACTACACCGTTGCCTTGAAACCACGCGGCAGCAAGAGCAACTGCTCGTGCGAAACCCACGTTGCCGAGGCATCAGGGATGTCGGGAAGGGAGACGCTGACTACCCACGAAATATTACTACTATCACATCAGCTCTAGATTATTAAATCCACAAATTTGTATACTTAGTCTAAATCTGTTGTTATTGCCATATAATAGTAATAATAATACACTTTATTTATATTCCGCCCTTGGTTTTCTGTGGGCGAACATATGGTGACTACTGGATGGCATAGGTTCTGTATCAGAAACTAGAACTGATGTGGTCTATCCAATGCAATTTTCTGAATCAGCACTCTAAGTAACCAAACCGAATCTAAAGTTGACCAAAATATTATTCATAACCCTTTTGATACTAATGTTGGAGAGTGATCCCTGGTCAAGTGGTTCCTGGTCAACAAAAGGTTGGGAACCACTGCTTTACAATCATATACAATGAGTTGTATGCACCATTCCTTTTGTATATTGGACATATAAAGGAGAAGTCAGCATGGCATGATCATGCACCCTGACTAAGCATCTGCACGGTCACCCCCCATGCTGCCTATCTCCAAAATCCAGGAGTTAGAAATGTCATTTTTAGATTGCAACAGCCAAAATTTAATTGAGAGGCAGCTAGATGGAATTGCGATTAAAAAAATGTCCCAGCTCAACACAAATCTCTTTCTTGCAAATGCATTCTTTGCTCTGACCTGCCATGGTTGACCACCAGGCACAGATATTTGACCTCCAATAATTCTTGAAAAAATCCCAGGTTGCCAATTATCCTCCTGGTCCTCGAGGTCTAGAGAACGGACTCCACATTTCAATCCTATAAGAAACAGAACAGATACCAAATTACGGTTTCAAGACACCAGTGCTGTCTCATTTAAATTATAGGGCCTTGCTTCTAGCTAAACTTCCTTAGGACTGATTATAGCAGACTAAATGTGATGCATTTCACCTACTTCAGAAGGTCTCAGATGAGGCAATGGTAATGGGCACTTCTTCTGTCTATTTGCCAAAGGGTATAAAATGGGAACATGAAAGCACAACTCAATCACAGCTTTGAAAAATTCATAATGATAGCAATCAAACACAAAGGCAGAAATCCCTTTTTTAAAAAACCCAAGGGCCAATTTCAGTTCCACAGATGTTTTAGGAGCCATATTCTAATAGTAGGCAATGCAAGAGGTTAAAAGGTTGGACTAAAAAAATCACAGCATATTTTAATGTATTGTCGAAGGCTTTCATGGCTGGAATCACTAGGTTCTTGTGGGTTTTTTGGGCTATATGGCCATGTTCTAGAGGCATTTCTCCTGACGTTTCGCCTGCATCTATGGCAACCATCCTTTTTAGCTTATAAAGCTCTTACTATCAGTAGCTAAGGCTGAAGAGAGACCAATAGATGTAGGGGAGGACATTGAGACCAATAGATGTAGGGGAGGCTGGATGGCCATTTGTCAGGGGTGATTTGAATGCAATATTCCTGCTTCTTGGCAGGGGGTTGGACTGGATAGCCCATGAGGTCTCTTCCAACTCTTTGATTCTATGATTCTATGATTGTACAGGACTGAAATCCCTCTCAATTGTATTGTAGGAAAGTTTCTGTGTCCATCTGGAGAACATCAGAGGACCTCAGGGCCGTAGCCAGAAAATTTTTTTGGGAGGGGTTGAAATTTTCGGGGTGGGGGTGAAAATTTCGCAGGGGGGGTGAAACCTGCCTCCTACCTCATGCTGAAGCAAAGAGCACAGCAGGGGGGAGAGCAGCCTTCAATAGCCTGCAGCTCTGCCCCTGTCAACCACCTCCACCATGTCTGGCCTCCTTAATGAGTGCATTCAACACACACACCCAACTTGGTTGCTTCACTACCTCCAGTGAGCTGATGCTAGTATACAAATGATGCACATCACTTTTTTCCTCCCTGTTTCATTGTCATGACAGCCCTGTGAGGTAAGTCTGGTCAGAAGCATCGAATACATGAAATGAGGATAAGGATAGCTTCTCTGGACAAGGTACAAGTAAGGGTTTATCTCCATAGCACTGCAAAATCATAGCAGTTTGATACTGCTTTCGTTGCAATGACTCCATCCCTTGCAATCTAGCGATTGAATGCTTGATAATATGATTCAAATTCTTTGCCAGAGAGCTGCCATGCAGAAGATTGGACGAGAGTTCTCCAACATTACCTGAGTTCACCTTCTCAAAGTCCAATGGTTTAGAAGCAGCAAGAGTTGCAAGCATCTGGCTCCTCTGTTGAGATGACAGGAGCAAATCTCTACTCTTCAACTTGTCTGCTCCAAAACTCCAGGTGGCTGCAAAATATAGCATTTCCAATGGTAACAACTGGGTTGTATCTTTGCCTTATATTCTCCAATCTTTGAAGTATTCAAGTGATAAGATCACAATAAATACATTGTGGTTGCTACTCACCATGACTCAAAGGAGGCCCTGATCCTTCCTTTGGAACTCTTCAGGTATTTGTATAGCTGCCCTTGCTTTAACAGGTGTCAATTTGCATGCTGGGCTCTGGGTGCATCTCCTCTGTAGAATTAATGCAGCTTGACAACACTTTAACTGCCACTGTTCAATACTTTTGAATTCTAGGAATTGTAGCTTTCCCAAGCATGTAGCCTTCTCTGCCAAAGAGTCCTCGTGCCCCACCAAACAACAACTCCCAGGATTCCATAGCATTGAGCAAGCACATCTAAAGTGGTGTCAAACTGTATTCATTCTACTGTGGACATGTAAGAGTCTAAGAATCCAAATTCACACTCATTCATAGATGGCAACTGGGTGACCCTTTGTAAGTATAATCTCTCAGTTTTAGAGGAACATAATAGCAAACCTCCTCCAGATATATTTTGCCAAGAAAAAAAAGTGATAGGTTCACCATAAGACTTGCAGGCAGACAATAGCTACTAGCTCCCACTAAATACACACATACCTATTTACCAGTATACAGGGCCGGCCCTAGGTAATTTTCAATGGTAAGCAAACATTATTTTGGCGCCCCCTCCCCCCAACCAATCACTGAAAAATAAAACGTAGAAGGTAGAGGTGAATAAAAGAGTTACCTTACAAACCAGAAATTTACTTACAACATTATGTTTATATAGTTACATTACACAAATTAACTTTTTTAAGAATGCAAATATTTTACTAAACTTAGCAACAATTTTAAGTTTTTGTTGTTATTTTTGGTCTACAAGTACTACACAAAGGTTTCCTGGTCATGCTGTCTCTTCAGAGAAGATTTTTCAGACTAGGGGTTTGCTAATAACAGAGAACTCAATCCCATGCTTGTTGGGTCTGTCAATCAGATTTGTTTTGGAGAACGCAGCCCCAGGAGAATAGACACCTCCTTTTTAAGAAAGTGAACTCTTGTCCTTCAAAAGTGCCATGCCAGCCTGGACCATTACAATGGGTGTGGCAACATAGTCAGCCTCTGGCCCCTTCACTTTAGTGGATACTTTAACATCCAGTTTTCCTTAACACAAATAAACTTGAACACTTTTAAAATTAAAAAGATTTTTCTGGCTTTCAATTTTGAAAACTCGTGTACTATTATATCTGTTTCCATTTCATCCAACAAGCCATTTTTAATGGCCAAGGTTGCTAGTCCGCTCAAGCGCTCTTGACTCAAAGTTGATCTTAAATAGTTTTTTTAGATCTACAGAGACACTCGCTGGAACACCTCAGCAAGCGAGAGTCCAAAAGTGGCAGGCTCAAACCCAGCACCTCAGCCCATGGCTGATACCAGATGAGAGACTCCCCCCTGGGCACACAGAGGACTGGGCGACTTGGAAATGGAAAGGAATCACACAGGATCATATTTTTGCAGTCCATTAAGTGTGTTGATGATAAATCAGATAAAGGAATACTGGGGAAATTAATATAAAGTATAAAGTGCGTATAAAGGGACATTACATTTGGTAATCTAATGCAGGCTTTAAAAGGTTTTAAAGATCAAGTCAGGGTCTGCTGCAGTTTTTAGTTTTGGATATGTTTTTTATGGATTTTAACTGAATTTTTAAAATACCAATGATATTTAATTCCATTTTAATGTTTGCATATTTGTGGATTTTAGACTGTACTGAAATGTTTTTAATCTAAGCCAACTTGAGTCTTCTTGGGGAGAGAAAAAGCAGGGTATAAATAAACATAATAATGTGTTGTGGAAGGCTTTCATGGCCAGAATCACTGAGTTGCTGTGAGTTTTCTGGGCTGTATGGCCATGTTCCAGAAGCATTCTCTCCTGACATTTTCCCCACATCTATGGCAGGCAACCTCAGAGGAACAAAATCTGGCTACCAGTACCCTCTAAAATAACCCTCTAAAATCAGAACAATAAATAAAGAGCAACACTAAAAAAGGGGAATTCCTGACATGAAGCAATCAGGGCCAGTTAACCGCTCCCAACAAAGGATTCCTGGGCAGCAACTAGCTCGGCTTCGAAGCTGCAAGGCCATTAAATACTCATCAAGATGACCAATTGCAACATTCACACTTACCTCAAGCAGACATGAGTTCTTTTTCCCACCCTGGACATTCCACAGATATACAAACCCACTTGCCTAGTTACAAACAGACCTCACAGCCTCTTGAGGATGCCTGCCATAGATGTGGGTGAAACATCAGGTGAGAATGCTTCACCAAGCACCAAAGAGCATTCTGAACTCCACCAATAATAGAACTGAACCAAACTTGGCATACAGGACTTCCATGACTAACAGAAAATACTGGAGAGGGGGTTGGGAAAAATAGACCCTGACATTTGGGAATTGCAGTTTACCAAGCACCAAAGAACATTCTGAGCTCCACCAACATAGAATTGAACCAAACTTGGCATACAGGACTTCCATGACTAACAGAAAATACTGGAGAGGGGGTTGGGAAAAATAGACCCTGACATTTGGGAATTGCAGTTTACCAAGCACCAAAGAACATTCTGAGCTCCACCAACAATAGAATTGAACCAAACTTGGCATACAGGACTTCCATGACTAACAGAAAATACTGGAGAGGGGGTTGGGAACAATAGACCCTGACATTTGGGAATTGCAGTTTACCAAGCACCAAAGAACATTCTGAGCTCCACCAACAATAGAATTGAACCAAACTTGGCATACAGGACTTCCATGACTAACAGAAAATACTGGAGAGGGGGTTGGGAAAAATAGACCCTGACATTTGGGAATTGCAGTTTACCAAGCACCAATGAACATTCTGAGCTCCACCAACAATAGAATTGAACCAAACTTGGCATACAGGACTTCCATGACTAACAGAAAATACTGGAGAGGGGGTTGGGAAAAATAGACCCTGACATTTGGAATTATAGTTCACCAGGCACCAAAGAGCATTCTGAACTCCACCAACAATAGAATTGAGCCAAACTTGGCGTACAGGACTTCCATGACCAACAGATAATACTGGAGAGGTTTGGGAAAAATAGACCCTGACATTTGGGAATTGCATAGTTTACCAAGCACCAAAGAGCATTCTGAACTCCACCAACAATAGAATTGAACCAAACTTGGCATACAGGACTTCCATGACTAACAGAAAATACTGGAGAGGGGGTTGGGAAAAATAGACCCTGACATTTGGGAATTGCAGTTTACCAAGCACCAAAGAACATTCTGAGCTCCACCAACATTAGAATTGAACCAAACTTGGCATACAGGACTTCCATGACTAACAGAAAATACTGGAGAGGGGGTTGGGAAAAATAGACCCTGACATTTGGGAATTGCAGTTTACCAAGCACCAAAGACATTCTGAGCTCCACCAACAATAGAATTGAACCAAACTTGGAATACAGGACTTCCATGACTAACAGAAAATACTGGAGAGGGGGTTGGGAAAAATAGACCCTGACATTTGGGAATTGCAGTTTACCAAGCACCAAAGACATTCTGAGCTCCACCAACAATAGAATTGAACCAAACTTGGCATACAGACTTCCATGACTAACAGAAAATACTGGAGAGGGGGTTGGGAAAAATAGACCCTGACATTTGGGAATTGCAGTTTACCAAGCACCAAAGGACATTCTGAGCTCCACCAACAATAGATTTGAACCAAACTTGGCATACAGGACTTCCATGACTAACAGAAAATACTGGAGAGGGGGTTGGGAAAAATAGACCCTGACATTTGGGAATTGCAGTTTACCAAGCACCAAAGAACATTCTGAGCTCCACCAACAATAGAATTGAACCAAACTTGGCATATAGGACTTCCATTACCAAATACTAGAGAGGTTTGGGGGAGGCATGTACAAAAGATGACATTTGCAGTACCTTTTGACGAGGCCTCCTTGCTGCCCTGAGAGGGGTCCAGGCTCAGCTGCAGGGAAGGGAAAGCGAAAGCGAAAGAGCCTGGCTGGCTGCCTCCCTCCTGGCAGCACGTGGAGGGAGGACTTCCCTCTCGCCTAGTGGGCGGGGCCTGCGCTTCTCCATTAGAAGGCTGTTGAGGGCGCATGGGGCCTCCAGGAGGAGGCGTGGCCTAAGGACAAAACAGCGCCCCCTGGCAAAAAAAGTATTCCGCCACCGCTTACTTCGAGTAATGGACGGGCCGGCCCGCTCCTGGCAGCACGTGGAGGGAGGACTTCCCTCTCGCCTAGTGGGCGGGGCCTGCGCTTCTCCATTAGAAGGCTGTTGAGGGCGCATGGGGCCTCCAGGAGGAGGCGTGGCCTAAGGACAAAACAGCGCCCCCTGGCAAAAAAAGTATTCCGCCACCGCTTACTTCGAGTAATGGACGGGCCGGCCCTGCCAGTATATGCAATAAAGCATTTGAACCAGGGCTCCAAAGCATGACCAGACTACACTTCCCATCATTTCTCATCACTGACTATGCCAACTAATGCTGATGGAAACATCATTATATCAACTTGAGAGGGAACCCATTCCCTCCTTTTGTTTAACTGGTTAAATCAGTGGTTCCCAACCTTTTTTTGACCAGGGCCCACTTGACCGGGGACCACTCTCCAACATTAGTACCAAAAGGAGCGGGGCTAGTCAGCTCCGTGGAAAGGAGCAAAAATATTTTTTAAATAAATAAATAAAGAGGAAGGAGGTTTCGTTCTTGCGGTCCACTGCTGGGCTGTGGCCCACAGGTTGGGAACTACTGAGTTAAATGGATTCTAAGATCAAAGTTTGGTTGATAAACTACATTTTGAAATGAACCTTTCGCAAGGTTGTGAATTGAAGGCAAAAAAAAAACTGTGCTGGCAATCAGTCTGTTTCTCCAACACTTGGCTTTCCCTTCAGTGTTGGCTCCCCGGCTTTTTTCTTCTTTTGTCGTTTCAAATTTACTCAGAAGTAAGCCCATCTGTTTTTTTGTAGGAGCTATTCTCAGGTGTAAGGATCAACAAAATTGCAGGCTTCATGAACATATGGATACTGTTCCATTATCCAGACAGACTTCAAAAGAGAGAAGGATATTCCATTTTATGGGGGATAGTTGGGGGAGGAAAAACATTTCCCCCATTTTTGCTGGTTATTCCCCCCACCTCCTTTTCATTTCATATATGAGGGTTGTTTCCATGAGAGTGACATGGGGGGGGGGGGGATTATAGGAGCATAGGGGGAAATGGTTTGACTCCTTTTGACTCCTTCAACCTCCTTCCCTCCATAAGATGGATTATCCTTCTCTGTCTCATGCCCCCTTATGACCGCCACCCTGATGACAGAACAGTACCAAAATGGGGGAAAGAATTATTGTAGTCTGACATCACTTTATTTGCCGTAGCTCCAGTGCCATGGAACCGGGGGAGCAGTAGTTTGATGAGGCACCAGCCTTCATTGACGGAGAAGGCTAAACATGTAAAGCTACATTCCCAGGATTCCATGAAATGGAGCCATTGCAGTTAAAGAGAAGTCAAACTGCATTAATTCTACAATATAGATGCCCCCTTAAGCTGAAGCAGCTTGCTTTTTCCTGGGAAAGAAAAGTCCACCCCTTCCTTACCCATATTAATGGAGTGCAAACAACTTGAACATTTTTGAAGTTAGTTTGCACCAGAAGAAACAAATTAAGGAGAAAGGGAGAAAGTGGGAGCAACAGCAAGAAACTGGTATGTTTTCAAAGTAGAATGGAATGGGTCAATTGGAGGATATGAAATATACTTACCATGTTGACCAATGAAACATATGAAGTAGGAGATCCATGGCAGTATCCTCATGGCTCCTATCAACACAAAGCTTTAATGCCAAACTACCTTCTCATACAGCACAAGGTGACAATAATAGACCCAAATGTTTAAAGGTAGGGTTGGTTTTAATCTAATACAACTGAACTGAAAATGTCATTATAAGGACATTGATGAATTCAAAGTAGACCTCTGTCATGCATTCTGATTTAAATAGCTGTATCCATTTTTCTGGGAGGAAAATGGGAAGGAGTGGTTTGAGAAGGGTGGGGCTCTATGAAGAAAGGCATTGGGCGGGTCTAGTTAGTCAGCCCATCACAGCTGAGAAAGCAGCTCTGTCCTTTGGCCTTATTGGCTGGGGTTAATGAAAATTCAGTGCCTAAAATCTGAACTGTCCCAAGTTACTTTAATTGGCCATGGACATTGTTTCACTTCCTTTGAACTGGACTAGTTGTGGGTTTTCTGACCCATTCTGTGAAATAGAACCCAGGTTTTATGCCCTGACTTCAGTTCTAGTAGCAGCACTGATTGCTGATGTTGGAGAGACAAAGAGAGAGCAAAGTGGATGCATTTGGAGTAAGACAAGCATTTCTGGAGAGAAGAAGGAAGATGTAAGGGATGGCAAGACCACAGCATTCTCTCTCTTCCAATCTCCCTCCTGTGTCAAGTGTAATTGTGACTCTATGAGGTTATCCATTATTTTTAGCCAGTCCTGCAAAAAGATTCTAAGCCATAGTCCCCAAAGTGTGTATAGTATTTCCAGGTGGCTGTCTCTTCCTACAACAGCGAACAGAAGAGAATCTCCGTTTGATCACTATGTGGTCTACATTACACAAGCTTAATGACATCACAAGGGTTCACTTTCTGACATCACAACCATCCAGGTCTTGTGTCATCAACACTAACCATCCCTAGCTCTCTTGTTTGGACCTTGAAATCTGGCCCAGGGTTGCTCCTGTCCTGACAACTCTACTTGGAGCAGAAGGCCAAGCTGGGGCTGCATTAGACATGCTGAGCAGCCATACACCATCTCAAGGCTCTTTCTCACAGAAAACAAGATCTTTTTCCACTAGTTCTCCCCAGACATTGAAAAATCCATTTTCAAACAGGAGAATTATTTTGCCCCCCCCCCCTTGAATGACATGCTCTAAGAAACTATTGTGTTTGGTGCTTAATATGTTAAGGACTTAATATGTTTTAATTATGTGTATTGTGTTACATCTGGTTTACTCAAGTTGTTTTATAATTTATTGAGTTGTTTTTGATTTGTTAATATATTATTGTTGGCATTGAATGTTTGCCACTGTGTATTTTGAGTCCCTATGGGGAGATAGAGTGGGCTGTAAATAAAGTTTCATTCATTCCTTATGTTCAATGATATTGGCTAAGCTCTGACATCATCAGGCTATTCTTATTTCTCAGGCTTTGGCCTTGAAATCTCAGAGCCTGGGATGCTTCTGACCTGTGGCAACCCTTGCAATGCACACCCCAGCAAATGTAATGCTGCTGTAGACTGCAGGTGGGATTCTCTTTTCCTGAAAGCAGCAACATTCTGGGGGTTTTAGCGGGTCTAACAAGTCATGCATCTAGTCCAGTGGTTCTCAACCTTTGGTTCTCCAAGTCTTTTGGACTTCGGCTCGTAGAAATCCCAGCCAGTTTAGCAGCTGTTAGGAATTATGGGATCTGAAGTCCAAAACACCTGGAGGACCAAAGGTGGAGAACTACTGCTCTAGTTCAATGTTTCTCAAACTCGGCTTCCTCGGGTGTTTTGGACTTCAGCCTTCACAATTCCTAACAGCTGCTAAACTGGCTGGGATTACTGGGAGCTGAAGTTTGAGAAACATTGCCAACTTAGTCCATCCATTTGAAGTCAGCGGGTGCTGTGGTTTTTAATTTTGAATATGTTTTAATGGATTTTAACTGGATTTTAAAATACTGTTTATATTTAATACTGTCTTAATGTTTGCATATTTGTATGCTTTGAATTGTATGCTAATGCTTTATGTTAAGCCTCTTTGAGTCTCCTTCAGGAGAGATAAAGTGGGATATAAATAAATATATAATAATTATAAAATCATTTTGCTAAGGACTTGAGAGACAGGATTTGCAGTTAAAATTAGAGATGGCTCCTGTACTTTTAAAAGTTTTGTAGAAGAGGGATTTTCAGCAGGTGTTGCTCATCAACTATCTATTGAAACTCCTGCATTTGCAATTGTTATTAAACGTAACAGCCATCTCCAATTTTCGCTCTAGCAACTGCAAGTGGGAGGAAATAGGTAATGGTAAGTACATGAGGTCGTTGCTTGCTTGTGCAAATCATTTCTTAGGAAATCATTTTATTTCCTGCCTAATGGGACTTAAAATTTGTGGCAAATCGGCAAGCTATCTGGTCTCTTGATCACTCACAAAAAAACTCTTCTTCTCAATTGTTTGTTTTTATATAAGGTCACCAGATTTCATTATAAAATTTCAGATACTCCCTGTACAATTTCTTTAAAATAGCAAATAACTCTATATATTGAATTGCATTTTGTATTTGTACATGCACGGACAGTGAGGAACAGCTAAATTTAAAGGAATATCTTCTCCCACATGGGCTCCTATTTCAATGAATTATTTTGATGAGCCCCCGGTGGCGCAATGGGTTAAACCCTTGTGCCAGCAGGACTGAAGACCGACAAGACGGAGGTTGGAATCAGGGGAGAGCACGGATGAGCTCCCTCTGTCAGCTCCATCTCCCTATGCGGGGACATGAGAGAAGCCTCCCACAAGGATGGTAACACATCAAAAAAAATCTGGGCATCCCCTGGGCAACGTCCTTGCAGACAGCCAATTCTCTCACACCAGAAGCGGTTTGCAGTTTCTCAAGTCGCTCCTGACATTGGAAAAAAAATCTTGATGAGGTCCTCTTCATGACCCAACTAGCTTGGTTTGCAATTAAAAAACCAAAGTGGCACCTTCATTTTGAAATGCTACGTCACAGAAGCATAATTAGATCCATTAATTACCCTTTTAGGATGCTCATGAAAACATGATTTCTGGGGTGCAAGGTCAAAATGTGGTAGCAATGAGCCATTACCTGTTATTACATAGAGTTCTGTTTGTGTCATGCGAGTTCCCCTTGCTCTCTTCCTCCTGCAGCTTAAGTCTTCTCTGGAGGGTTCCCTGCCCTCTGAAGCAGATTTGATGGTTCTATGGATGGAAAATCAATTCCATTGGTGATATCTATTTTGATGGCAGGTGGACACCATTGGAAACAATCCAGTGTTTTCTAATATCTTCTTTGGATACCGATGTTTGCAATTTTATGTGATTCATGTAATTGTTGGACTTCTAGCGATCTTAAACACCAGCAATGTAGACTAAGACTTATGGGAGTATCAGTCCAATAATGTTGGAGTTTACACAAAACGTGGATCCAGTGGAATCTACTGTTTTAGCTATCATATTCAGTACTGGGTTTTAACTTTGCTTTTGACATTGTTTCTTAATACCTAAATGTATATGTTCTTATTCTGACGTTTGAACATTTTTTGGTGCTAGTCACTGGTTGTAAATATGTGTGTGTGTGTGTATGCACACAAAGCATGTTGCACCCATTCTTGTTTCTCTCATGAACAGATCCAAGCACACATTAGCGCTACAGTGAAAGAGACAACCATACCTCTTCGCATTCATGCAAAAGCAAACAGACAAAAGAAAAACACAACACATTTTTCATTTTTATATAAAATAGACATTTATATACATCTGCTTTGTTGAAAGTCACCTTTGATCATAACTTTTGTAAGTAAAATTTATTCATAAGTTGGCAAAGAAAATAAAGGACTCTTCAAATCCTGTTATCACGGATATACATCCCACTGCTAAATTGTGCATTTATTAAACAAAAATAAGCAATCCTTTAAATTAAGGGGAAAAGAGATGCAAAGACAGAAACACTACAGCTAAGCAATAAAAGCCTGTTTAGTGAAATTGAGTTCTGGCAGTTTGTTTCAGCAGTTATTTCTAACCTGTTTTGAGAAGCAAGAGATCATGATCCAGAGATTGCTCTCAAAAAAAAAAAATCCTGACAAATCCTATATGGACATCACAAGGAAGCTCAGCATGTATTTGCAGAGAACACTGATACTTGTCAAAAACCATTAATAAGCCAAAGCAAGTGATCTTGATGCTACTTGTTGCTAAGTGCACATGAAAGCAGATGGTTGACTATTGCATTTTCTCCCAAGCCAAAAAATACACATCCCCCAAGGATCGGTTTTCACAGATGAAAAGCAAATGTGCAATAAGTCAAATACACAGTGCAAGGCAAACAAGTGTCAAAGCATGCAAGGGCTTTGGTGAATTCTCAGCAAAGCTTGGAAAAGTTTCTTTCTGAATGGCAACTCCCAGAATTATTTTGCCCACATGGCTGTTGGAGAAATTCAGGGGGCTGGAGCCCAAAACAAAAGCAAGGAATTCAAATCCTTTTCAAAGGATTTGAATTACAAACTGTATAGATTAGAGCTTTTAGGCATAATATTGGAAACAACATCATATTTTTCATGGTATCATGGTCATGGAGCACATTGGTTTTCTACGTTTTATACTGCCATATGCTATGCTATTGTCATAGTCTGCTGCTAGAAACAGGGCCATAGTGGCCATCAGAGGCCTTGTATTTCTTCCTATGATGGCCAGTTTGCATCTGCTGCATTGGGACAGCACATGTTTCTGTGCAGAAGACCACAAATTCAATTTCTGATGCTTCTATTTTTAAAGGCCCTGTAACAAGCCTAAATACCCCAACGGCATCAGATCCCATTGATCTTGGAAGCGAAGCAGGGTGAGCTCCGGGTGGTACTTAGATGAAAGATTGTTAATGAATGCAAAGCGATGTAGGCTATATTTCAGAGAAAGGAACTGGCAAAAGCTATTTTAAGGATTCCTTGCATGAGAAAACCCTGTGAAATTCATGAGATCACCAAAAGCTGACAAAGGATTTGAAGGCACACATAAACGACAAGTGATGGAAAAATTACTGCATGAGATGCTAGAGAGCAACTGCCAATTAAGACTATATAGCAATCAAAGAGTAGAAAACATGTAATGACCATTTCAAGCCTTCCTGTGTCTAAACAGTAATGATATTTGAAGCAGTTCCAGGGTCCAAATAAGATGAATTTTCTAGATGCCAAATAAGATGTAGCTCCTGATCTGTAGAGCTTATACATATAGGGTGACCCTCTAGATTAGAGTGGAATTCATCCTATTAATCCTTCATGCACCCAGTGATCTCAAAATGCTACAACAACAACCTCTACCATATATAGAGTGGGAAATGCCAGATGTCAGAACTGGGTTAAGGGAAGGAAGAGGCACAAGGGATCATGTTGCAAACATATGTTGAATAATGGAACACGTCAAAGAATTTCAGAAGAAAATCATGCTTTACAGGTTACAGCAAAGCCTATGATGATGAAGATCATTAAAAACTATCATTCTTAAAGAAACAAGTGTATCCTGATGTGTAATCCATAGTCGGGACGAGAGGGTGATGTCAGGAAAGAATACAGAGAAGTGGGATGGTTTAGAATTGGCAAGGGCTCAGGCAACACTACATTTTTGCATGTATACCACAGATTATGTATATAACTTCAAAGTAAATAAGACTAGGATTTGGATGGGCAACTGTGAAGGAAGTATGTAAAGGAAAAAAAACCCAGGAAGATTGAAACATACATAGTTGTAAATCCACATTCTTACAGCTAACATTCCTGCATTGTTTTAAATTGATTTAAAATAATGAGAAATGCAAACACCTTTTAAAACTACATTTCTACCTTTCAGGCATGCACATCCACAACATGAGAAAGGCACAAAAGTGCTTTTGGTAAACCCATATAAAACCTGTGTTAATGTCCATTGGATATCAGCTTAGCTGCACAAACTACCAGGAAGTTATGCTGTGTTTGCCACACTAATTTTACTTGGAATATTTATACTCAGTGGGCTGTACTTTAAAAGGAAATAAACCACACTATTTAACATGCTCAACAAATGTGGATGATATGGTAGGTCTTAGTCATGGTTTGATCACTTTAACATGCAAAGACTTTCTGCTGATTTCTATACCACCTATTACCAAAGTTTGGGGTGATATGAAAAAGTTAAATAAAGTAAGTACTCCACCCCTTGCAGTAACTAAACCTTTATCTGTATATACCAGTGGCTCCCAACCTGTGGTCCGTGGACCACCAGTAGTCTGCAAGAACTAAAATATGATCACAGCCTCACCGTTACTACACCATTGCAACGAGAGTGACTGGTCTCGCGAAACCCTCTTATAGTGCTGAGGCTTATAAAATATATTTTTGGGGGGCGAGCAGATGGTGACTACTGGATAGCATATGTTCTGTGTCAGAAATTAGAGCTGATGTGGTCTATCTAATGGAATTTTCTGAATCAGCACCCCAAATAACCAAACTGAAAAGTTGACCAAAAATTGATTCGTAACCCTTTTGGTACTAATGTTGGAGAGTAGTCCCTAGTCAAAGTGGTCCCTGTTCAAAAAAAGGTTGGGAACCACTGGTATACACCATCATTCCTGATGTACATCGCGGTTTTAATATGTTATGTGGCTTACCTTTTTCTTGTATTCCATCACAATGTTCCTATAAAATACTATATCTATTTTGCAGATGAATAAGTCAGGCTAACACATAATGTGCTGGCACAGTAAACACAAAGCTTGTTCTCCCTCAGATCTCCCAGCTCTTATTTCACCAGGTAACATTACTTAACAATTAAGGCCACTCAAAGTAAACTTATTTTTCCTCGATAAAGAATGCTTCCAGGTGGCTTCCTAGTGGTACCAATCAAAAGGCATTATAAAGCTATTCTTCCCTTTAAAAGTTTGATGTGGTAAGATACTCTCCCTCCCTTAAAATTTTTACAAAATATGAAGCATTACAGATGGAAGGTTTCACTGTCAGAACCAGGGATATTGAAAAGAAATCACATTTTTTTCATCTTGATGGAATGAAGAAAACAAGGCAGTCATAAGATCTTTCATCCTTGCACAACAGCAAGAGACCAGTATCTTTTTCTTGTTGCCTTATTGGATTTTGTGCAAAATCACCATATTTCATGGAAAGAAATGTGCAAAAATGTTGAGAGGCTTGTCTTACCAAATGCAACCTCTTAGGGAATGCACAAAAACTTTTGTAATCTCAATCGGCAGCCTTTTTTTTTTTTTACATTATTCTCACACACTAAAACAAAATAAGTAAAGATTTACACCCCTAGTCTGAATTTCCTGGGAAATTCAATTAATCAAGCAAAGTGACTGCACAACAAAAATCTGTCTCCAGAACCATCCAAAAATATTGAGAGCCCTGACTTTGCTATTCTAGGATGGCCTCAGGCATTTGAAATTTAATTCAAGTTTCACCAAAGTGCCCCCCCCCCATCTCCTACAGCAACCATGAGTAAACCATGAGTATGTGCAGGCTTATAGCTACCAAATGGGTTAGGGAGGTATGGTCCTGCCAAGTATTCCCCAGATTTCTAGAAGTGTGGTAATAATTTCTTCATTACTTGGCAAGAAATACAAATAGAGATTAATTTAGTATTCATATGCATGTTATGATATGTTATCAGATGGTCTTCCATATTTACTCACAGAAATTCTACAAGAGCCTGCTCCAAACCATTGCCCTCCATATGATAGACTATAGTTCCCATTCTCTCCACCCAACATGGTTGAGACCAGCGATTAGGAAGAGCAGTAGTTAGAATTATCCATTGACACAACCCAACATGCAATAGCTATGTTTATGGAGGATCATAATCCAAGTCAATGAACATGACAGCTGAGCTCTTGAGTGAATCCTTATTTGAGTAGGCTGCCACTTTGTTTCATAGAATCATAGAGTTGGATGAGATCTTGTGGGCCATCCAGTCCAAGCCTCTGCCAAGAAGCAGGAAAATCACATTCAAAGCAGCCCTGACAGATGGCCATCCAGCCTTTATTTAAAAGCCTCCAAAGAAGGAGAGTTAAGAGAAGAAGAATGCATCAAACACTGGAGGCATCTGAGTGCTCTAGGAATATCAACAGAGTAATTTAACATACATTCCCCCGTCATCTCGTGGTTGCTACCTTCTCCAATTTCATAAAAATAAAGAGCAACAGCCACGTGTTCAGCTACTTTTCCAGTTATGAAACGAACCATCTAATTTTTCCTCACAGAGAAAAGTGAAATATATGACATTTTTATTATGTTCAATAAATAACACTCAAATATGAAATACTCAAACTCGGTAATACGAACTCTCTTCTCTCTCATATATTTGTTTTGTGGAGAAAAGGAGGAATAACATTTCTAAATATCAAAAAGAAAAGATGTCTCTAAAATCCCTTTCCTCACTTGTTCCCCAAGTCTCTTATATCAAGTGACCTTAGAAAAATTATTTCCACACTAGATTTTCCAGAAACCCCCAATTGGCGCTAGTGTACAAAGGCCACTAAGGAAGGTTCAATGTGCTCAGGGGCTTTCTTAAGCCTTCTTCTCACAGAAGCCTTTGTGCCATCCCTCAAAAGCTCCTCTCCCAACGCAGGAGCCTCTCCTGATCAGTCTCTAAAGTAACACAAGATCTGTGGGTGAGCAGGGGAAATCCCATGTGCATGGTTCCTATGTTTTGAGTAACATAATTATTTTTAAAAGAGAAACTACAACCCGCTAACATTACTGAAATTATCTGAAGTGCTTGAGCAATGTGTAGAGATGCCATCCAATAAATCTGTTTTCAGCAAAGCAAACTTTCTACTTTGAGGAAAGAACCACCCCTAAGCTCAACCTCTGGTGTGATATCTTGTATACAAACACCACAAAACAATGTTTTGAATGCAGGGCTTCTTTTTCTGGAATCACGCTCATGATCAAAATACTTAGCAGAAAATTAAGATGTATGAATTTCCATCCTGGGCGATGGACTATATGATTTCCTAGGTCTTATAAGAATAATCACCAAGAAGACTTAAGTTGGCTGCTGTTTTCTTCAGCTATGGCTACCGCAGCCTCTTCCAACTGTTTCTCATTGATTGTTGCAACTACCTTCTTGGCTATCCAGGTACTCAGTCCTGATGCCCATAGCAAGACTGAACCAAGAAGACCATCCTATTCAGCCCTCAGTGAATCACACCATTTGTTCACTTCCAACCATCGTTCCAGTGCCCATTTTTTGAAAGAGTCAGAGATATAGAAGCATTCCCTCTATAAATGTTGAAGAAAGGAGTATGAGGCAAATCCATCTAAGCAGCAATCTGGATTACGATCAGGTCTTCACCCATTTGACAGCACATCTAGAGACCAATAGCAGGAGGATCCCATTAGCTTTGGCTGCTTAAGTACCATTCCCATAGACATCCCTCTTATTTTGGTTCTCCAATGCACCTACAGCTCCTTTCAGTTGGTCGCTGTCTTGAAGGAAAACGGTGGTTTTCTACAGCACTTGCTCATCACGAGGAGGCATACATTCATTGGGGTAGCCCTGTTATGTTCTCTCTTGGACATTCTGCAGCCGTTTCTCCAAGCGATCCAGTTTAGCCAAATTCTCTTTCAGCAACTTGCTGTTTGGAACGAGCTGTAAAGCTTTCTCATAATAGTTCCTTGCAGTGATGTAGTTACCCTGCAAAAAGAAGGCCAAGAAGAGGAGAGAAGGAAAGGAACCAAAGCATTAGTGGCATCTTCTATTTTGTTGAAATCATATCAGTTACATGCCCCATTATTATCTCAACCACTCTTCCATATGGATGTCCCAAAAGCCCAGAACTTCTGCTTATTAATGTCATTTATATTTATCTTTGTCAGTTATATAATAATAATAATAATAATAATAATAATAATAATAATAATAATGTGTCTGGTGTGTGATCAAATACAAAAGCTAGTATATTGATCTTGTTTGCTGTGTACTAATCTTGTTGTGCATCTAATAATAATAATAATAATAATAATAATAATAATAATAATAATACACTTTATTTACATTCCTCCCTTCTCCCCTAGAGGACTCAGAGCGGATTACAGCAGACATAGGTAAACATCCAATGCCTTACAATAGCATACAATGAGACACACAAACACGAACAAGGCAAAGGCTTCTCCTTTCATTTCCGGCTTCTGGAGGCAGTGCTCATCTCTGACTCTGGGTGAGGTGTTCTCTATTTTCAAGGCAAGGAGCCTGTGTTGTCACCTCCTGGTTGTGTGGCTGGCAAGACTGCTTGCAGCGTCTTTTTTGCCTTTTCCTGCCAAAGCTATTTATCTATTCACATTTCCATGTTTTCGAACTGCTAGGTTGGCAGGAGCTAGGGCTAACAGCAGGAGCTCACCCTGTCCCGCATATTTGAACTGCCAACTTTCAGGTCAGCAGTTCAGCAGCACAAAGGTTTAATCCATTGCACCACCACAGCCCATTTGTTATATTTGTATTCCATCTTTCCTTCAAACAACTGAAACCCCATTTTACCCTCAAAATAACCCTATGTGATAGGTCAAACTATGAGAGCATGTATGGTTAAAAGTCATAGTCCAACACCCCAAATCCAACAGGCTAACTTTCTCCTCTCACTGTGTTTCCTGTCCTATAAAAAAGCAAAGGTTGTTCATAAAATTAAAACCATGCTTTGTGGAGAGGTTTTTATTGCTCTGATGTCTTCCAGTTGTTTCCAGCTTGCAGTGACCCTAAGGCAGTAAATCCCCAGATGTTTAGGCCCACCACTCTCAAAAACCCCATCCAGTCTACCAGCTATTAGGATTTCTGGGAATCAAAGGCCAAAACATCTGGGGACCCACAAGCTGAGAACCACTGCCCTAAGGCAAACCCAGCACAGGGTTTTATTGGCAAGATTGGTCAGAGTTGTTTGCTTTTGCCTTCCTCTAAGGCTGAAAATACGTGACTTGCCCAAGGTTTCCAATGAGTTTCCATATTTGAGTGGAAATTTGAACCTTGGTCTCCAGAGTTGTAGTTGATGGTACAACATTTTGAAGGGCATGAAAGTGTTGGTGTTAGAATAACAAGTCTTGCATCTTTCTAAAGATATCAATATGATGTGGTCTTGAGGATGAGTCTATGCAGACACAAATGGCCATGAGGAAACTGAGAATGAAAGCAGTAAGAGAAAAACAATAACATTTTCCCCCAAAACATTATATAAAGAGCTTCATAAACAAATGAAAATCAAGTGAATTTTCTGACCTTGATATGTTCAATGCCTCCCATATTCATCCAGGCTTGTGCTTGCTCTGGATTGAAGTGTACAGCCACTTTATAGCTCTAAATTAGTAAGAATGTAAAAAATAAAAATTAAAACATAGTGTTTTAAATACAGAAATCTTAACTGGACTATATAGCAGACTTTCACAGTGTTAGCCTTTGGAAATTACTGAACTGCTAGTCCCATAATTCCTTATCATTGGGCATGTCAGTTGCAGGTGACAAAAGTTGCCGTACCACAAGACAGGGATCCCCAGGGTTGACAACGGCTGGAGAGGGATGACTTTCCCCTTTAAACATCCTTGACACTGTAAATATTTACGTGCAGAGCTTTGTGCATGTATAGAGGAGCATGTTATGTTTAACGAAAGGAGTGCTAAATATTTTCAAAGATAATCGCATGATGTTAACACTGTGTTTATCTTTTTACCTCAAAAGCTTTGTCCAAGTGGTTTTGCTCTCTTAGCTGATTTCCTTTAGTGAAAAAGAGCTCTGATATGACTTTAGGGTCCTTTGGTTTCAGCTGTAGAGCTTTGTCTATGGCTTCAAGTGCCTGCGCACATAGAAAGAGACAAAGATAAACATGCCTTGTTTGAATTCAAATAACATATTGACAGTTACTTAATGCATAAATGTTTATATCTTAATTGTGTCACACAATACTTTACAGTACTGGAGGATATTCTAGTGATTGGCAAGCCCAAAGGTCAAGAAGAAGGACCAAAATACCACCATATTGTAGTCTATATACTCTTACTATCAGCGAGAAAGCCTTTGGGAAGGCATTTTAACTTCTTAGAATGGGGAAACACCCAAAGCCGGGAAACCTTAAAATGGTGGTGTTTTCTAGAAGCAGTCATGGCTGTCTGGGGAACTCTAGAAAGCTTGACTTAGCATCAGAGGTGATATTCTGCACCACTGCTTTAATGCTATGCCAGAGCATGGTGGCCCCATGGACAGAAGGAAAGGGCAGGCCACTGATGGAAAGATAAAAGAGAAGCCACACATAGCAGGAGTCTGTTTTCTGTCACACTGGTAAGACAAAAAGTAGGGTCTGTTCCTGGTGCTATGATGTGAGAGGGATATAGTCAAGCTAGTAGGTGTCTCTAGAGGGGCAACTAATACAGGGTTAGTCAAAATGAATAGGCCAATAAGAAAATTAATTTTAGACGAATGTATGTTTACTGTAACCAAACTACAGCTACGTAGCGACAGATAAACTATCAAAGTTTTGTCTCACCTTCAGAGATGTTCGATATGGGCGCCCTGTGTGACACGGCAGATGTCCAAGCGATAGTCCAGTTCATTCCACATCCGTTGCAGCACATCCGACGTAATGGCATCGAATGCAGCAACGTCTGGGAAGGTGTTCGTTGAGGTCCTAACCCTAACCCTATCCCTATCCCTATCCCTATCCCTATCCCTAACCCTAACCCTAACCCTAACCCTAACCCTAACCCTATCCCTAACCCTAACCCTATCCCTATCCCTAACCCTAACCCTAACCCTATCCCTATCCCTAACCCTAACCCTAACCCTAACCCTATCCCTAACCCTAACCCTAACCCTATCCCTAACCCTAACCCTAACCCTATCCCTAACCCTAACCCTAACCCTAACCCTAACCCTAACCCTTGAAATTCTCGCTGGACCGTAATTACTGACATTGTTTTAGCAAATGTCATCACACAAAACGCCTTCTCTTTGCTTGATTCCGCCATTTTGAAAACAGCGACCCCTAGCGACGCCTAGCGGCATTAACGTACATGTGTGTTGCTCAAAAAAAACTTTGATAGTTTATCTGTCGCTACGTAGCTGTGGTTTGGTTACAGTAAACATACATTCGTCTAAAATTAATTTTCTTATTGGCCTATTCATTTTGACTAACCCTGTATTATAAAGAGTCCACAAAGTGACTTTTATGAGAAATGTTTAAGGATCATCTTCCAATATCTCAAGGCTGTCACATGGAAGAAACAACAACAACAACAACAACTCATTCTCTACCATTCAAATTGCATGGAGGAGAAGCCACCTAAAAACTAGTAAGAGATATTTAACAACGGAATGGACTTCTTCTCACTTTTATTACTTAGAGCAGTGGTTCTCAACCTGTGGGTCCCCAGGTGTTTTGGCCTATAACTCCCTGAAATCCCAGCCAGTTTACCAGCTGTTAGGATTTCTGGGAGTTGAAAACCAAAAACATCTGGGGACGCACAGGTTGATAACCACTGACTTTGACCTTTAAAAAAGAGATCAGATGGCCATCTGCCAGGGAAATTGTTGGACTAGATGAACTTTGGCACTCTTGAAATCTACAATTCTGTGGTTTTATGAAACATCCCTTAATGACAGTACAGTACTATACATGCACAGGGAACATGAAACAAGTGACTAACTTTAAGTCTATCCATGCATTTAAGACTCTCGAGCTGATAGTCAAACAAAGGCTTGATTAGACAAGCTTTCTCATCAAAATGGCACATGTACCTTATTGTAATTCTCTTGTTTGCTGTAAATAGCTGACAAAAGGCGGTAGCACTCCAGGCACTCTGCCTCTTCAGTCACAATATGGCTGGTCATTTGTTCAGCTTCCTTGGTTTGTCCCATCATTGCCAAAACCTGAGCCTACACAAAGTACAGACAAATAATAGGTAAAGCCTCATCTTTTCTGTCACCAATTATAATATTGTTAAAGATTCTGTCTTACACAACAACTGGCCTCTGAACCATCAAGAAGTGGCTAACCTCACTGGCTGATGTGCTACCAATGAGATTACTCTTTCACAAGTACACACATATCTCACCTCAAAGATAGTGGCACAAAAACCCAAACACAATGATATTAACACTTCAGTGGTCTTGCATGAGAAAAAGTTGTCTTTCTAATACTCTAGACCTAGGCCCATCTCCTCCTCTTACTTCCTGATGATGGTGGTTGCAGGTCAACATATTTGGAGGGTAACAAGATGGGTGCAACTGACATAAGCCCTTGAAAAGTACATTTGAGCATTCTTAATTATGCCCAGAAATAAACTGACAGTTAGTGAAAGTCTTCAAGAACCCAAAAGAAATGTTAATTTCTAGCTGTATTGGTTAACAAACTCATGCGGCTATTCTAGATTGCATATTCTTTTGTAACGTTCTTCAGATATTATTATTATTATTATTATTATTAAACTTTATTTGTACCCCGCTAGCATCTCCCAAGGGATTCGATGCGGCTTACAACAGGCCGGAGCCCAACACAACACAATACAACAATACAACAATACAAAAAATACACTCCTACAAAAAAGTATTACAGCCTATTACCTGGGATGTTGACACACCTTGGATTACTATAGGCATATTACTATTTGACATTTTCTTTAAAAGTACTTCTTTTAAAATTAAGCCTGTTTCAGCGCCCTCTGAGCTCTCCATGCAATTCAAGACGGGGCAGGCTACAAGTGTGAGGTGTTTATTAGAACCTTGAGATCCACAAGACAAGTTTAATGCAAAAGGCACACACCGAGAATGAACCATTTTTGAACTCAGGAACTTGTTTCCAGTAATTGCACTGAATGGAGCTCACAGCTCCTTAAATTCTATTCCTGGTATCTCTAAATTTTCTGACTACAAATGTTTAATTCAGGACAGGCAGGGAGTCATTTTTTGTTGCTATTGTTAAACACATGACACTAAATATCCTAAAGGCACCAGATCTTGGACGCTAAGGAGCTCAGTTCTGGTTAGTACTTGGCTGGGGAGACTGCCAACAAATACCAGGTGCTGTGGGCTGTATTTCAGAGGAGGGATTTGGCAAAGTCACCTCTGAGTATTCCTTGCTTAAGAAAACCCAATAATATTTATGCGGCCCATCATAAGCCAAAAAGCAACTTGAAGGTGTGCATACACACACTGTTAAACATATTGAACTCAGAAATCTTTGCTCTATTCAGATATTTTCAAGTACAGTAGAGTCTCGCTTATCTAACATAAACGGGCCAGCAGAACGTTGGATAAGTGAAAATTGGAAAATAAGGACAGATTATGGAAAAGCCTATTAAACATCAAATTACATTATGATTTTACAAACTAAGCACCAAAGCATAATGTTTTACAGCAAATTGACAGAAAAAGAAGTTCAATACATGGTAATGTTATGTAGTAATTATTGTATTTACGAATTTAGCACCAAAACATTACAATGTATTGAAACAGCAGTGGATCCGGGCGGGAGGCAGACTGTGTTGGATAATCAGAACGTTGGATGAGCAAAGGTTGGATAAGCAAGACTCTACTGTAGATCCATATCTGCCTTCTGCCCACCCACTCTTGCAGTAAACTACATTTTCTTCTCACCAACCTGTCCCAAGTCTGAGCAAAACTAGAATGTACAAAACTAAAAACTATCAACTACTGTTCTATGGAATTAGGCGAAACAGAAAAGGCCCATCCACACACTCACCAGGGCCAGTCGTGTGTCCTTGTTGGATGGCTGAAGTGCTGCTGCTTCCCTGTACACCTTTAATGCATCTTCATATCTCCCTGTGTTGTAATACAGTGCTCCAAGAGGGGTCAGGATTTCAGCCTTTCGTGTCACTTTCAATGCCCTACAGGATTTTCAACCAAAAGGGAGGACATGGATGGAAAAAAGGGAGCAAATAGCATGCACTGAAATGTGTCTTCTAAAGGTTCTAACAGAGAACCATGCAGTCATCCAAATATTGTTGGATTGCAAGCACATAAATTAAAAAGATGCCAACAACATCTGTTGCACTGGAGGACCTAGAAAATTCCTTGCAAGGGTATCTAGGATATCCTAGGATCTCCAGTTCATCTTTATGGTAACTTACAGCAGAATTATATGATAGGACTGCATGGATGCCTTGGAAAATTCTGAGAGATAACAAATTTTGTCAGATGTGGATAGATGAAACTACACATGCCATTCCCATACTGTATTCTATATTTCAACAAATACTGTCATTGTAATAAAGTCTAAGAATAAGTATGTGCACAAAATAATGGTTTGCACACTTCATTCTGGGAATCAGCATTTGCTCCTGATATAAATATGAGGTTCTCTGTGACCAAGTATTATGAGATTAAAAATTAAAAGGAGGCACTCCATACTCTGCCTTTTCTTACCTTTTGTACCAAGTTTCAGCCTCTTTGTTCTGTCCCAAAGAGCGGTACAACCTCCCCAGGTTCACCATGGCCACATGATGATTTGGGCTCAGCTGGATGGCCTTCTGGTAGTGGGAAACTGCAGTCTCTGGAGATCCTACAAAATAAGGTTCAGTTATGAATGTGGTTATATATCCTGCAAGCTCATGTGTTTTATTCCCATAGGGGGAGAATTAGGGCTACATTTGCAAACAAGAAAAAAGGCACCTTCAAGGGGAGCCCAAATGTCAAGTGAAGGCTTCTTTGATAAGTTATTATGATCGAAGTACAGAGAAATTCAACATCCAACTGAATAATGTCTAGTACACCAGACTGCCCCATTCATCAATATGAGATGACTTTTCCCACCTGATAGAATACTTCTGTCCAAGGCTGTTGTGCAATTGTCAAATATACATCACTGCCAGGCTATGCAAGTAAAGTAAGATATTTTCAGCATGGTGTGCAATGGGAGTAGGAGACTTTTCTAACTAGTCATGTCTTATCACAATATATCCAAAGTGTAACCATTTCTGCTTAGTCACCTTGGCTTCCAAGGTTTGCTTTAGGACTAATTAATTTGTCTTTTTAGCAGGTCATGATATCTCCAGAGCTCTTCTCCAGCACCACATTTCAAATAAGTTGATTTTCTTCCTTTCAGCTTTCTCCAGTTCTCACAACAATAGAAAACCAGAAATAAAATGGCATGGATAACCCTGACTTTGGTATTCAATGCATGTCTAATTCTTTCGTGGCTGCCCCTACAAGTCCTCATCTTCTTCTGAGTTCTTAACTGCAGTCTCATTCTGATTAATGACTGACCCAAGGTATGGAAATCTTTATTTTAATGTCTCCATCATCTTACTTGACTTTAAATTGGATAATAAATGTACTAAAATGGTTAAAGATTTATGTGGTCATTATTTCATCTCTGGTCATTATTTTTGTTTTCTTAATGATCAACTGTAAGCCTGTCTTTGTACTTTCTCCCTTTACAGAATTGTGGTAATGACAAAATAAACCCACACGTTCCACTTTGACTCTCATCAAATGTTGAGCAATAGGAATGATTTTCCCAAAGGACACTGGCAAACATGCTATTTATTGTTTTAATAGCCACTCTGAAGATGTTCAAAATAGCTTACAAGAAAAGCACTGGAGGATAAATACTAAATGGGGGTGGAGGGGAATAAACCATGTTAAAACAACACAACCCCATCTCAAAATAGGATGGTCACTTTCCAATGAAAAAGCAAGAATACAGATTAGATTTATCTATATCAGCGTTTCTCAACCGTTTCTCAGAAGGGTTGCCAAAGACCATCAGAAAACAAATTATTTTCTGTTGGTCATGGGGGTTTTCTGTGGGAAGTCTGGCCAAATTCTATCATGGTTGGGGTTCAGGATGCTGTTTGATTGTAGGTGAACTATAAATCCCAGCAGCTACAACTCTCAAATGTCAACGTCTATTTTCCCCAAACTCCACCAGTGTTCACATTTGGGCATATTGAGTATTCGTGCCAAGTCTGGTCCAGATACATCATTGTTTGAGTCCACAGTGCTCTCTGGATGTAGGTGGATTACAACTCCAAAACTCAAGGCCAATGCCCACCAAACCCTTCCAGTATTTTGTGTTGGTCATGGAAGTTCTATGTGCCAAGCTTGGTTCAATTCCATCATTGGTGGAGTCCAGAATCCTCTTTGATTGTACGTTAACTATGAATCCCAGCAACTACAACTCCCAAATGACAAAATCAATCCCTCCCAAACCCATCAGTATTCAAATGTGGGTGTAATGGGAATTTGTGCCAAATTTGGTCCAGTGAATGAAAATACATCCTGCATATCAGATATTTACATTATGATTCATAACAGTAGCAAAATTACAGTTATGAAGTAGCAACGAAAATAATTTGATGTTGGGGGGTCACCACAAGATGAGGAACTGTATTTAGGGGTCGCGGCATTAGGAAGGTTGAGAAACACTGATCTATATTGTGCTGCATAGTAAAATTTGAAATATTTCCCATATCTCCACAGGGTGGAGCTACACTCCCATACTTTGCCTGGAGAAGATGTGACAGAGAAATCCATTATAAAGGGAGGGGGGTGCAACCTGTGTATAAACTGATTAAGCAGAATCATTCATCAGTGTCTTGTGTTTCTTTTAAAAAGAAAAACAAACCAAAAATGCTGATGTTAATTTCATCCTAGAGAAAAGTGAGATTGCTAACCTTGGGAAGCAAAGAGCCATTTAAGATAAATTTTGTACATGAATCCACTGCCTGTCATACAGAAACATCTCCCACAGCAGTATGCATACATAATCTGCATGTGATATTCAAACAAACATGTCAAGGTTAAATATAACTAAGGTTTAAGATTTGTAAAGACAAGGAGAGAAAGTGTTAAGATTTGCTTTTTTTGAAACTTTCAATTATGACTGGAATTTGCATTGGGAGACATATGTCTGGCATATGTCTCCATAGCTATATTGATTGATGTTAGCCCCCTGCCCCTTATGCAGTCTTCTGAATAATATGGCCATTTCTTTGTGGATGGAGAATGGTGAGATCGGAAGTGATGCATCCAGCTATTTTCTTGTAGCTAAATGCCAACAGACACCTGCAGGAACCTCCCAGGGTTCTGAAAAAAATCCATGCAGATAATGTCCTTGCAGCATGTCCCACAATGGGGAAATATCAATATTCAGTAGAGTCTCGTTTATCCAACATAAACGAGCCGGCAGAATGTTGGATAAGCAAAAATGTTGGATAATAAGGAGGGATTAAGGAAAAGCCTATTAAACGTCAAATGACGTTGTGATTTTACAAATTAAGCACAAAAACATGTTATACACCAAATCAACAGAAAAAGGAGTTCAATGCACAGTAACGTTATATGCTATGAACCATCACGAAGCTTAAGATCATCAGGAGAGGCCCTGCTCTCGATCCCACCACTCTCGCAAATGCGGTTGGTGGGGACAAGAGACGGGCCCCCTGTCTGTGGAACTCTCTGCCTAAGGATATCAGGTTGGCCACCTCCCTCCTGTCCTTTACAAGACAACTGAAGACCTGGCTCTGGGGCCAGGCATTTGATTAGAGGCCAGCAGCAATAGGAAAAGGAAATTTGGATTTTGCAATATGGATTCTCACGGCTCAGCTTGGTTTTACTGGCACGTTAATCTATTAATATATTGTTACATTTCAGTGATGATGATGTACAATGTTTTAAAATGATTTTATAGTGCATTGTATTTTTATGGTATTTATGCTGTTAGCATCCTCTGAGTCCCCCTTGTGGGGAGAAGGGCAGGATATAAATATATGAAATGAAATAAATAGTAATTACTGTATTTACGAATTTAGCACCAAAATATCGCAATGTTTTGAAATAGCTATGGATCCGGGCGGGAGGCAGACTGTGTTGGATAATACAGAACGTTGGATGAGCGAAGGTTGGATAAGCAAAGCTCTACTGTATGTCTTATTCGATCTCCCCACTCCGCAATGAAATGACCACCTTGGTTAGCATTTAATGGCCTTGCCGTTTCAAGGTCTGGCTGCTTACCTCCCATCACCTCCCAACAAAGGATTCCCCCAGGCACCAAAGTGGCCAATTGCAACATTCACACCTTCCTCAAACACACAAGAATTGTATTGTCAAAGGCTTTCATGGCCAGAATCACTGGGTTGTTGTAGGTTATTTCGGGCTATATGGCCATGTTCTAGAGGTATTTTTCCTGATGTTTCGCCTGCATCTATGGCAAGCATCCTCAAAGGTAGTGAGGTCTGTTGGAACTAGGGAAAAGGGTTTATATATCTGTGGAATGACCAGGTTGGGACAAAGGACTCTTGTCTGTTGGAGCTAGGTGTGAATGTTTTAACTGACCACCTTGATTAGCATTTGATGGCCTGACAGTGCCTAGAGCTATCTTTTGTTGAGAGGTGATTAGATGTCCTTGTTTGACAAGAATTATTTCTCTCACCCTGGACATTCCAGATATATAAACCCCACTTGCCTAGTTCCAACAGACCTCACAACTTCTGAGGATGCCTGCCATAGATGCAGGCAAAACGTCAGGAAAGAATGCTTCTGGAACATGGCCATGGAAAACTCACAGCAATCCAGCGATTCTGGCCATGAAAGCCTTCAACAATATATTATATCATTATCAATAGTCAGACTATGTTCTGTTCTCATTGAGCATGCTCCGTCTCTCCCTATTGACTTGTTCTTCTCTTCAAAATCTGGGTATCTGAGTAAGACACATTAGCTTCCAATTCCAACTACATTACAATCTTAGATTTCTTCAGTGATTTCTATAAACTGCTCATTTTTCTCCCTGAAGACATTATAGATTTGCAGCATAAGTCATGTAGTGACCTATCCAGGTATTGTAATGGGACTTCCAGCATTTCCATTTATATTTATTAGGGCTGGGCGGTTTCGTTTCGTTAATTCGTAATTCGTTAATAATTCGTTAATTTTTTCAATTACAAAACGATAACGAACCATTCTGGAGCAATTATTTAAAAAAACGAATTTTCAAAAACGTTTTGTAAATGCTTCGTATTTTGATATTGTATTCGTTTCGTTATTGTTTTGAGGTCGTTTCGTTATTATTTCCGCATGTCTGGGCCAGTTTTATGGTTTAATTAGTGAAAAAAAATTATAATATCACACCAACAGTCAACAACAGAGGGAGAGGGAAGCTTCAGAAGGTTTTGGAGGTTTTTTAGCGTATTTTGCGGTCACGTCCGCCATTAACGAATCGATTCGTTATTGTTTCGGAAATCGATTCATTAATTTTTTACCATTTACGAAATTTTGTAAATATCGAACTTTTTAAAAGGAAAATTTTGTAATTATTTTAAATATCGAAACAAAAAAAACCCCCAAATACAAATCGATTTTAGAAACAAATTTTTCCGTTGTTACCCAGGCCTAATATTTATGCTTCCCTTTCCAGCCACTTAATTTCCCTTCCTATCGCATTATCAGGGGTTTTTTGCCCCCTTATTCTATCAACACTCTGCACCATGATGGCGGAGTGGGAAGTTACTACTTACAGGGTTTTTTTCTTCCCTAAAGAATGATTGAGCATCTGTAAGC